GTGAGGGTGGCGCTCGACTAAAGGGACCATATCTCCTCTACTTATTGTCCTCCCCGTCCAACATGCATGCAGGTATGTCAGTCTGTCTGTCTGTGTCTGTCTGTCTGTCTGTCTGTCTGTCCGCTTGTCTATTCGATCTACACGAAGGATATAATTCTCTATATTATTCCCCTCATTATCTTGTTTCTCTCTTTGTTTTTTTTTTGTTTTTTTTACGTTTTGTCATTGTCTGTTTTTTGTTGTTGTTGGTGTTTGTTCGTTGGTTGGTGTGTCTATCATTTTGTTTGTGTGTTTGTTTCTTGTTATATCTTATCTATGTCTTGGTTTTTTCTTAATCTCTCTCTCTCTCTCTCTCTCTCTCATACTCTTTCCACTACCACTGTCGCAATTCTACCAACGTAATACAGGGTAGAATAACGTATATATATATATATTGCTTCGAAAAAAAAAATAATCAATGCCTTTAATTATTTATCTTACCTATAGTCAAACTACCTCAGTCTAACATAGCAATTAGGTCCTTAACTACGTGCTAAACTACCATACCCTGTGTTACCTATTACCGTTATCATAGATGACTAACGTAACGTAATTAATATATTGTGTGAGTTGATTAGAGTCAGTTAATATATATTTTTTTATATTATTAACTTGAAATCCAGCTTAAAATTAATGTTATTTTGATGTTAAATGTCTAAGTTAATCTTGCTGGATGTTAATTTATTATATGTTAAATTGATGTTGATGATCATGATGTTCTCCAAGTGTGTAAACATTAAAACAAGCATCAGTGTTTAGGGTCATCCTACTCGCCCGCCGCCATTAATGTCAACAAAACACGACACGAACATAACCATTCAGGCTGAAGCGTTTGAAATTATTGTGTTAGTTCATTTTACATTGTTCAGACACGCCCACGAGCCATACCACGCTTTCATTTTAAGTTATTTTATGTATATTTACATTTCCAAATATAATTACCAAGCGTTATATTGTTAGAAAGGAGATATAATTATTTTATCCTCTGTACACTGGGAAGGACAAACTCAGACCCCATTCCTCGCTTCCCTCGACTCACTCCATGGATAATGTCTGTGATTGGCTGAGAGCCGAACGTAAACAAATACGATTCTTAAGGAAACTGAGTTGAAACATATAGTATTTTGTGTAAACTCTCAAGATACAAGAAACTGTTATAATTTTTAATCTTATTGTACGAGTATTGTAAACGATTGTATTTTTTTTAGCTGATTATCTTCTACTTATTATGCTAACCTAACCTAGTCTAACGTAACCTAACTTAACCTAACCAAACCTAACCTAATCTAACGTAACCTTTCAATAATATCTCGTATAATTACCAAACATCAAACACAAAATAAAATACAAAAGCATCAAGCATCACCGAGAGCTTAAAGTTAATCCTACTCTCCGTGACGTCACTGTAAACACACCTGGGACAAAAGATCATTAGGGTGGAGCATTTGAAATTAATCCTATCCAGTGCTTATCCTCTGAGACAACACAACACACTTACTCACTGATGTGTCCTGTGTATAAGGTTGTCATAGTTACTTCACCTTACCTCACCTCACCTCACCTCATCTCACCTCACCTCATCTCACCTCACTTTACCCACCCATATTAGGTTAGGTTAGGTTAGGAACTTCAGGGTAGACAAAATAAACACAAAAGAAAAACTCATTAAGATAAATCACCTGGAGAACACCTGAACTGTTCCTCAGGTAATGAACAACTTTTCTTACCAACAAAAGTTTTCCTAAATGGCAAGTTTAAGTGAGCAGGTAAACTAAGGTAAACCCTCAGTATATGTAAAGTATACTATGGTATCTCTCACAGTATACCTATATAGTATACTGTAGACTATACTCGTTAAAGACAGGTGATGGAGGGGTATGTGTTGACTGTGACCTCGTTGACCTTATCGTTATACCCGGCACACCTATCACACCTGCCACACCTGTCACACCTGCCACACCTATCACACCTGCCACACCTGTCACACCTTAAAGAAAACGGCTATAGGCGAAGTAGAGGTTCATAGAAAACGGTGGTGGACGAGTGGGAGACTGAGGTACTACTGAGGGACTCTCGCTACTCGTTTTAGGTCATTTACTGAAGGCAGAGTCACAAGTCGCGGCAGTAAGGGAGAAAGACGAGCAAAATTACGGATTACAAGTCATTCCTTTAAATACCAAGAGAGGAAATGCTCCGAACTTTAAATACCAAGAGGAAAATGCTCCGAACTTTAAATGCCAAGAGAGGAAAATGCTCCTTCCTTTAAATACCAGAAGAGGAAATGCTCCGAACTTTAAATACCAAAAGAGAAAATGCTCCGAATTTTAAATACCAAGAGAAGAAAATGCTCTGAACATTAAATACCAAGAGGAAAATGCTCCTTCCTTTAAAAACCAAGAGAGGAAAATGCTCCGAGCTTTAAATAAGAAGAGAGGAAATACTCCGAGCTTTAAATGCCAAGAGGAAAATGCTCCGAACTTTAAATGCCAACAGAGGAAAATGCTCCTTCCTTTAAATACCAGGAGAGGAAAATGTTCCAAACTTTAAATGCCAAGAGGGGAAATGCTCCTTCCTTTAAATACCAGAAGAGGAAAATGCTCCACACTTTAAATACCAAAAGAGAAAATGCTCCGAATTTTAAATACCAAGAGAAGAAAATGCTCCGAACTGTAAATACCAAGAGAGGAAAATGCTCCTTCCTTTAAATACCAGGAGAGGAAAATGCTCCGAACTTTAAATACCAAGAGAGGAAATGCTCCGAACTTTAAATACTAAGAGAGGGAATGCTCCTTCCTTTAAATACCAAGAGAGGAAAATGCTCCGAACTTTAAATACCGGGAGAGGAAAACGCTCCGAACTTTAAATACCAAGAGGAAATGCTTCGAACTTTAAATACTTAGAGAGGAAATGCTCCTTCCTTTAAATACCAAGAGAGGAAAATGCTCCGAACTTTAAATACCAAGAGAGGAAAATGCTCCTAACTTTAAATACCAAGAGAGGAAAATGTTCCGAACTTTAAATACCAAGAGAGGAAAATGCTCCAAACTTTAAATACCGAGAGGAAAATGCTCCTTCTTTTAAATACCAAAAGAGGAAAATGCTCCGAACTTTAAATGCCAAGAGAGGAAAATGCTCCGAGCTTTAAATGCCAAGAGAGGAAAATGCTCCGAGCTTTAAATACCAAGAGAGGAAAATGCTCCGAGCTTTAAATACTAAGAGAGGAAAATGCTCCGAGCTTTAAATACCAAGAGAGGAAAATGCTCCGAGCTTTAAATACCAAGAGAGGAAAATGCTCCGAGCTTTAAATACCAAGAGAGGAAAATGCTTCTTCAACTCTTCCTCCAGAAAGATGATTCCTGAAGAAGAAGAACAATAACAAGAACAAGAAGAACAAGATCACGAAGAACAAGATCAAGAACAACAAGAATAAGAAGAACAACGATAAGAAGAAGTAAAACAAGAATAAGAACTAGAACAAAAAGTAAAACAAGATCAAGAAGAACAAGAATAAGAAGAGCTAAAACAAGAACAAGAACAAATAGTAGAAGAACAATGTGAAGACCTCTTTTGTGTACTGTATGTATGTATGTATGGTATGTATGTATGTATGTATGTATGTATGGTATGTATGTATGTATGTATGTATGTATGTATATTGAGTAATCAGTGTTATTGTTATTGTACTAGAGAGTTATGGTTCCTTTAGAGTGTGTTAAGGCGCTGTGGGGATACTAACGCCTTTATGGGTGTTCATCTTAGTGTTGATGCCATTATGAATCTCTTTTATGCGTTGAGTGGGAACATTAGAGTGGGAGGAAGGAGAGTGGTAGAGAGGGAGGGAGAGGGAGGAAGGGAGAGAGGGAAATCATGTTGGAAAGAGAGAGAGGCTGGTAAGGGGAAGGAAGGAAGGAAGGAGAGAGGAGAGGAAGGAGTGACGAAAATAAAGAACGAAAGAGAAGGGAATATATATATATATACAAGAGAGAGAGAAGAAAGGAAGGGAAAGAAAGAAAGAGAAAAAGAAAAAGAAAGAGAGAAAGAAAGAAAAAAGAAAGAATGAAAGAAAGAAAGGAAGAAAAAGAAAAAAGAAAGAAAGGGAGAGAAAGTGAGATTACGAAAGTGGGAATGAATAAAAAAATAAATAGCAAAAGAGAAAAAATAGAAAAGAAGAAAGAGAGAAAAAGATAGAGAGAAAAGAGAAGGAACAAGAAAATAGGAGAGAGAGAGAAAGAAAGAAAGAAAGAAAGAAAGAAAGAAAGAAAGAAGAGAGAGAGAGAGAGAAAGAAGAGAGAGAGAGAGAGAGACAATACAGAGACGTAAACACAAACATGGATCATAAAAACAGACAGAGGAAGTAAAAGACGCACAGAGGAAAGCACAAGAAATAGGGAGGAGGCAATACCATGCTAAGCCTCTCTCTCTCTCTCTCTCTCTCTCTCTCTCTCTCTCTCTCTCTCTCTCTCTCTCTCTCTCTCTCTAACTTTCCTCCCCAGGTGAAGGGAGTTTTGGTGTTTTCCCCCTAGAGAGTAATTACTAAGAGGCCCTCATCACCTTGGCCCTGATCACCCTGGCCCTCATCACCCTGGCCCTCCCACTGGCCTTCCTCCTGGCCCTTATGCCCCCTGGGAGAGCTGGCCTGCCGTTTTAAGAGAAGTTGTTATTAAGGGATGAGTTGTGGTACGAGAAGACCGTGTTCCAATATTCTTCCGCCCTGCTCATACATACATACATACATACATCCATACATACATACATACATACATACATACATACATACATACATATATACATTATAGTTAGGTTACTTTAGATTAGGTTCGATTATGCGTGGTTAGGTTAGGTTAGGTTAGGTTAGGTTAGGCTGGGTATAGTCTCAACGCGATTTTGACGTCATTTTCGCCGCTATCTCTTTATCTCGTCTCTCACGTGGGTTTTCTACTGCGTCTCTCACTTTGAGAGATAATATTTCCCCTGAGACGTTTTGAGATAGTGAATTGAGCCTCTGTCACTTAATACTGAGGGTAAATGTTTGT